CTGTGTGTGCTGCCGGGGCCGTGACCCCGCCGGCACCTCCCCATGGCCACGGCCCAGTGAGGAGAGCGACGGTGGGAAACCAAACGGCTCCAGAGGGGTCCCCAGAATCCCGTCCCAGTGGGGACTGGGACAGAGACCCCCAGGAGGGGATGGGCCTAGGGCTGAGGATTGGGGGAATTGTTGGGGGTTTGGGGACAGGTGGGGACACTGATATGGGGGCGTGGATCCACCACTGGGGTCTTCACCATAAGCAGCAGCATTCCAGCTATAAGCATCAGCACCCTTGGCACAGAAATAGGACCCGGAATCCTCGTCCTTGAGGTTGTTCATGGTCAGCGTCACCGAGCTCTGCCCGCTGTCCCTGGAGATCCTGAACCGGCCCTTGACCGATGGCGTGTAGTAAGTGTCTCCATCGTTATGAATCCCTGCGAGCCATTCCAGCCCCTGCCTGGGTCTCTGGCGCATCCATCCCAGCCCAAAATTCCTGAAACTGAACCCGGACCCTCAGCAGAGGAGGCGCAGCGATCACCCGGGGGGCTGGAGGTCCCCCCTGCACTCCAGCAGGGTCACGGCTGCCCGGAGCCCTGCGGGACCAAGGGGAGATGGGGATGGGGCGATGCAAAACTCTGGCAGAGGTGTCCAATTAATCAATGGGTGATTTGGGGTCAGTTGGAGGGTTGAAGGCACTGTATATTACTGGGCATCTCTCTTGGAGATTTGGGGCCCGACAAAGGGAATTTGGGGCAAAACTCCAATAAAGGTTTGGGGATGGGGAGCAGCCGTGACCCTGCTGGAGTGCGGGGGGCGCCTCCAGCCCCCCGGGGGGTCTCTGCGCCTCCTCTGCCGAGGGGCCGGGTTCAATTTCGGGAGCAATGGAATGTTCTGGATGCATCAGAGACCCAGGCAGGGGCTGGAGTGGCTCGCGGGGATCAGCAGGGACGGTTCCAGTGCCCACTACGGGGCCTCATTCAAGGAGCGAGTGAGGATCTCCAGGGACAACGGGCAGAGCTCGGTGACACTGACCATGAACAACCTCAAGGACGAGGATTCCGGATCGTATTTCTGCGCCAAATCTGCTGATAATTATTCGGGGAATAATGCTTATAATGTTGACCCCATCCCCATGGCTCTGCCCCCTCCCGTCCCTGTTCCCCAGACCCTTCCCCCAATCCCCAGCCCCTGACCCCATTCCTGTCCCCCTGTCCCAGCTCTGAGCTGGCTCTGCCCCAAACTCAGCTCCTGGCCCCACACCTCAGCTCTGCACTCCAAGGCTCAACCAAGGTCCCCAAATCTGGGTGCAAATGGTCGAGATTTGGGGAAAATGGGCAAGATTTGGTCCGTGGCTAGGACTCAGTTCCACCACTGGGATTTTGGCTCACAATGGGTCCAGTCTGGTGGCGATGATTGGGATTTCATGGACAAGGCCGAGGTCAGGGTGAAACTGGCCCTGATTTGGGGACAGAGCTGAGATCTGGGGCCAGAACAGGGCAGGCTTCAGACAAAGGGTCAGGAGTGGGAACAAGGGTTGGAGGGAAGGGTCTGGCGAACGGGGACAGGTGGGGGCACAGACATGGGAACAGCACCAACACCAGCCCTGTCACCGTAACCAGCAGCAGGAGTAACAGTACTAAAAGATTTCACACAGAAATAGGATCCGGAATCCTCGTCCTTGAGGATGTTCATGGTCAGCGTCACCGAGCTCTGCCCGTTGTTCCTGGAGATCGTAAACCGACCCTTGACCGAATCCGCGTAGTAGGCGCTGCCACCTTTGCTGATCCTTGCCACTGATTCCAGCCTCTTCTCAGGAATCTGTCGAACCCAGCCCATCCCAAAACTGCCAAAATCAAACCCGGACCCTCGGCAGAGGAGGCGCAGGGAGCCCCCGAGGGGCCGGAGGTCCCCCCCGCACTCCAGCAGGGTCACGGTCACCCGGAGCCCTGCGGGACAAAGGGGAGATGGGGATGAGGCTGAAGCTCAACCCTTGACTCAAATCCTGACCCTTGGCCCCAAACTGGGACCCTTGGAGTTCTTCATCCTCCTCCCCGGCAGGTCCTGCCCATTTTACCAGCAGTCCACACCCAGTTTGGGGCCTTCAACCAATGAGGTTTCTCATCCCCATCTCCCCTTTGTCCCGCAGGGCTCCGGGCGGCCGTGACCCTGCTGGAGTGCGGGGGGGACCTCCAGCCCCCCGGGGGTACCCTGCGCCTTCCCTGCCGAGGGTCCGGGTTCGACTTTGGGAAATTCGGGCTTGGCTGGGTTCGCCAGAGACCCGGGCAGGGGCTGGAGTGGGTCACAGCGATAGACAGTGATGGATACAACTGGTACCCACCCGCATTCAAAGGCCGGGTCATGATCGCCAGGGACAACAGGCAGAGCTCGGTGGCGCTGACCATGAACAACCTCAAGGATGAGGATTCCGGATCATATTTCTGTGCCAAATGTGCTTATGGTGGTTGGATTGATGGTCCTGCTTCTGTTGAATGTTTAGATGGCATTAGCTGCCCCCTGTCCCCCCCGTCCCCATCTCCCAGAGCCTTCCCCCAAATCCCAACCCCTCACCCCATTTCTGACCTGTCACAGAGATTTTTTCATAAAATCCTTTCTTTTAGGATTTGTCCTGTCTGTGAAGCTGGGTCCCCAGAAGAAAAATGTAAACAATAATTATCTGGTGGTGTGGAATGTAATAGGATCATCTGTGATTGGTCTTCTGTGAGTGTTTCGATTTGCTGACCACTCACGGGAGAGTTTGTCCTTGCTTTCTGCTGGACACAGGATTTTGTTATTTTCTTTTTTCCTATGCTATTCTTAGCTTACCTGCTTCTGCAACTTCTCTCTTTATTCCTTTTAGTATAGTTATAATGTATTATATATCATATATCAATAAATCCAGCCATCCTATCGTGAACCAAGATTCTCGTCCACTTCTCTCACCCTGAAGACCTTCATCAGGTCGCTGTAATAGCTGACCGTGAACAACCTCAAGGACGACGATTCTGGATCCGATTTCTGTGCCAAATGAGCTACTAGTAGTTTTGGTGGTGGTGTTGCTGCCTTTAGTGACAATTCTGGCAGTGGTCCCACCCCCCATGGTGGTCACCAAATGTCTGCAATCCCCACAGATCCTTCCCCAAATCACAGATCTTCTCCTCAAATCTTCACCATTTTCCCCCAAAGTCTGCACCAGCTGCACCAACTGTCGACTTTCCCCCAGTTTTGGGCATTTCAGCCAAATCTCCCCCATCTCCCTGGGTCCTCATTGGCTGAGTTGGCACGGGCAGAAATGGGAACTCTTGGAGAGTGAGACCTGAACTGGAGGCCAGGGGCGAAGGTTTGGGGCCAATGGTTGAGTTTTGGGGCAGGAGCAGGTGAGGGTTTGGGGCCAGTGCTGACCATTGGTGCAAATGGGGACAAAGGGTCAAGTGCTGGGTCAATGGCTGAGGTTTGGGGGAAGGGTCTGGGGTTGGGGACTGGGGGAAACTCGGGGACGGGGCTGGATCCACAACTGGCGTCGTCACAATAAGCAGCAGCATCGCCCCAATTCCAAGCAGCAGCGGATTTGGCACAGAAATAGGATCCGGAATCCTCGTCCTTGAGGTTGTTCATGGTCAGCGTCACCGAGCTCTGCCCGTTGTCCCTGGAGATCCTGAACCGACCCTGCACCGACGGCGCATTGGCGGTGTAAGCACCATCGTTCCTGATACCGGAGACCCATTCCAGCCCCTGCCCAGGTCTCTGGCGCATCCAGAGCAGTCCGAAATCCCCAAAATCAAACCCGGACCCTCGGCACAGAAACGTCAGGGACCCCCCGGGGGGCTGGAGTTCCCCCCCCCACTCCAGCAGGGTCACGGCCGCCCGCAGCCCTGTGGGACAAAGGGGGGATGGGGATGAGGCCAGAGCTCAACCCTTGACCCAAATTGTGACTATTGGCGCCAAATTGGGATCTTTAGAGTTCATCATCCTCCCAGGAGGATTCTACCCCATTGTCGAGCAGGCCACACCCATTTGGGGGCACTTGACCAATCAGAGTTTTGATCTCCATCATCTCCCCTTTGTCCCGCAGGGCTCCGGGCAGCCGTGACCCTGCTGGAGTGTGGGGGGGACCTCCAGGCCCCTAGGGGTTCCCTGCACCTGCTCTGCCGAGGGTCCAGGTTAAGTTTTGGATGAACCAGTCTGATGTGGATCCGCCAGCGGCCTGGGCACGGCCTGGAATACATTGTAGGGATTGACTATGATGGTGACACCAGATACCCATCATCGTTCAGTGGCCGAGTCAGCATCTCCAGGGACAACGGGCAGAGCTCAGTGACGCTGAATATGAACAACCTCAAGGAGGAGGATTCCGGGTCCTATTTCTGTGCCAAAACTCCTGAGAGTTATAATGCTGTTGTTGCTGATCGTAGTGACGCTGCTGGTGCTGGTTATGGAGCATTTAGCCCCGTCCTCTTTGTTGCGTCCCTAATTGTCCCCATACCTCAGACCCTCCGCCAAATCCCAGGGCTCGTCCCCGCTCTCGGTGACTGAATTCGTGTCCCCAGCCCCGGGCCCAGCGCTGACCTTTGGGGCAGAGTTTTAGGGAAAATCAACGGCCAAGGGTTGGGGTTTGGGGCCGGAGAGAGGAAAGGGAAATGGAGAAATAGTCACGGGCCGTCTCTGGGCCTGGGAGGTGGGTAAAGGGCTGGGGAACGGGGACAGGTGGGGATGCAGTGATGGGGATGGGGTCAAACAGCAGCACCCCAACCAGCACTGACAGTTTTTGCAGAAATAGGATCCGGAATCCTCGTCCTGGAGGTTGGTCATGGTCAGGGTTATGAAGCTCTGCCCGTTGTCCCTGGAGGTCCTGAACTGGCCATTGACTGATGGCGCGTAGCCAGCGCTGGAACCGTCCTTGTTGATTCCCGCTACACATTGCAGCCCCTGCCCGGGTTTCTGGCGGATCCAAACCATTCCAGAATTGCCAAAGTCGAATCCAGAGGCTCGGCACAGGAGGAGCAGAGCCCTACCGGGGGGCTGGAGATCCCGCCCGCACTCCAACAGGATCACGGCCGCCCGGAGCCCTGCGGGAGAAAGGGGAGATGGGGACGAGAAACCTGATTGGCTGTGGACCCAAGGTGGGTGTTGCCAGCTTGAAAAAGGGATGAGACCCAGCTGGGAGGGTGACCAGGAGCAGGAGGAGAAGAACCAATCGTCACAACGTGGGGCCAATAGTTGGGATTTTGGGGTCAAGGGTTGAGCTTTGGCCTCATGCCCTTCTCCCCTTTGTCCCGCAGGGCTCCGGGCGGCCGTGACCCTGCTGGAGTGCGGGGGGGACCTCCAGCCCCCCGGGGGGACCCTGCGCCTCCTCTGCCGAGGGTCCGGGTTCAGTTTCGGGAGTTTCTCCATGTTCTGGATCCGCCAGAGACCCGGGTAGGGGCTGGAATTCGTCGCGTGGATCAGGAGCGATGGTTCCAGCACCATCTATGGCCATCTCTGCAGGGTCGGTTCAGGATCTCCAAGGACAACGGGCAGAGCTCGGTGACGCTGACCATGAACAACCTCAAGGACGAGGATTCCGGATCCTATTTCTGTGTCAAATGTTACAGCAGTGGTTGTGCTGATGCTAGTGCTGGTTATGGTGTTGATGGTGGTTGTGGTCCCAAGCCCTCTCCTCTCTGTTTCCAAATAACTCAGAATTCTCTAATCCATCACAAAAATCCTCACCCCTATTTCTCAAATCTTGACCATTTTCCCCCAGACTCCACCATCATTTCCCCAATTCCGGATCCTATTTCTGTGCCAGACGTGACAATGGTTATGCTCCTGGTGCTGCTGCTGTTGGCTCCATCCCCTGCCCCAAGTGCTCTGAGACCCCCAGACCCCTCGCCCGAACCTCAGCCCTCTCTCAACCGTTTCCCCAAACCTTTCAGCTGTTTAACCCCAAAATCTCAACCTTCGTCTCTTGATCTAAACTTTGCTCCTAAAATCTTTGTCCTACAGCTCAATGTTGGCCCAGGGATGGACACAGGGGTCAGAGGTCAAGATGGGGGTCTAGGTATGAGATCTGGGGGAAGGGGCTGGGGTTTGGGGACACCTGGGGACCAGGAGAGGAGAGAGAGGGGCCAAACCCGGGATGGTCAACAAAACCACCAGCAGCACGTGCCCAGTCAGCAAAACCACCAGCGCATTTGGCACAGAAATAGGATCCGGAATCGTCGTCCTTGAGGTTTTTCACGGTCAGCGTCACCGAGCTCTGGCCATTGTCCCTGGAGATCGTGAACCGGCCCTTGACCAATGGGGCATAGTAGGTTCTGGAAAGATCGTAGCTGATCTCTGCCACGAACTCCAGCCCCTGTCCCGGTCTCTGGCGGACCCAGTACATGTTCACATTCCTGAAACTGAACCCGGACCCTCGGCAGAGGAGGCGCAGGGACCTCCCCGAGGGGCTGGAGGTGCCCTCTGCATTCCAGCAGGGTCACGGCCGCCCGGAGCCCTGCGGGACAAAGGGGAGATGATTAAAAATGAGAAATATGATTGATCCAGAAGGGGAAAAGGTGCGTGTGTTCCAGAAAAAAGCGACGGAGCCCGCCTGAGAGGGGCAGCAGGGGCAGCAGGGCCTGGATCCGGAGGGAGCTCAAGGCCAAGGCCGGGATGTGCCGGGGTTGGGGTCCCAGGGGTTTTGGGCATTGTTAATGTGGTATTACTTTTGAAATCAATGTGGAACCCTGAAGAGAAGGTGTCCAATTAATTAATGAGAATATTGAGTTTAATTCCAGGTTTTGAGGAACTTAAGGATAGCCAAAAAATCTGGTGGAGATTTGGGACCGAAGCAGAGGAGTTCTGAGTGAAATTGGTGAAGATTTGGGGAAGGACTCCGGGCAGCCGTGACCCTGCTGGAGTGTGGGGGAGACCTCCAGCCCCCCGGGGGGTCCCTGCGCCTCCTCTGCCGAGGGTCTGGGTTCAGTTTTGGCAGTTTTGGGATGGGCTGGTATCGACAGAGACCCGGGCAGGGGCTGCAGTGGGTCACGGGGATCACCAACACGGGTGGAAATATCGGCTACGCGCCATTGGTCAAGGGCCGGTTCACAATCTCCAGGGACAACGGGCAGAGCTCGGTGACGCTGACCATGAACAACCGAAGGGACGAGGATTCCGGATCCTATTTCTGTGCCAGGGCTTTTTGTGCTGGTTGTTGGGCTGTTGCTAATCATGGTGACAATGCTGTTGATAGCGTCAAACTTCTAGATTTTGCTCCTTTCCCATCATTGTATCTCCAAATTTTCGATTTTCATCCCAAACCTCACCTCTTGTCTCAGATCTTGACCCTTGGTCCGTATTTGCATCAATGGTCACCACTGACCCCAAACCCTCGCCTGTTTCTGCCCCAAGACTCAACCATTGGCCCCAAACCTTCACCCTGACCCTTTGTCCCAACCCTGTCCCCTTTGCCCCAACGCTGCCCATTGGCCCCAAACCCTCCCCTGTGTCTGGCCCCAAACTTAACTCTTAGCCCGAAATCTCCCCCTCATCCCCTAAAAGTGCCCAAAGGGTCGAGATATGGGTGAAAGGGGGCAAATTTTGGCACCAACTCAGTTGGGTTTGATGCAGAACCAGTCGGAGTTTGGGGTCTTTGGGCACCATGGGTGGAAATGGGGCAGACGTTGGACAAACGGTCAAGGGTGGCGATTTGGGAGAAGGACTTGGGGCTTTAGGACAGGAGGGGTCACTGAGATGGGGGTGGATCCACCTCAGGCATCTTCATAATTAGCACCAGGATTGCAATTATCATCAGCAGATTTGGCGCAGAAATAGGATCCGGAATCCTCGACCTTGAGGTTTTTCATGGTCAGCGTCACCGAGCTCAGCCCGGTGTCCCTGGAGATCCACAACCGGCCTTGGACTGATGGCGTGTACTCGGTGTTGCCACCGCTGTGGATCAGTGCGAGCCACTCCAGCCCCTGCCCAGGTCTCTGGCGCGCCCATTGCATGGCAACACTCCCGAAACTGAACCCGGACCCTCGGCAGAGGAGGCGCAGGGACCACCCCGGGGGCTGGAGGTCCCCCCCGCACTCCAGCAGGGTCACGGCCGCCCAGAGCCCTGCGGGACAAAGGGGAGATGGGGATGAGACCAAAGCTCAACCTTTGACACAAATCCTGACCCTTGGCCCCAAACTGGGATCTTTAGAGTTCATCATCCTCCTCCCAGGTGGATTCCACCCCTTTGTCCAGCTGGCCACACCAACTTAGGGGCCCTTGACCAATCAGGTTTCTCATTTCCATCATCTCCCCATTTTCCCGCAGGGCTCCGGGCGGCCGTGACCCTGCTGGAGTGCGGGGGGGACCTCCAGCCCCCTGGGGATTCCCTGCGCCTCCTCTGCCCAGGGTCCGGGTTCAGTTTCGGGAGTTTTGAAATGGAATGGGAATGACAGAGGCCAAGGCAGGGGCTGGAATGGGTCGTGGGGATCAGGTACGACGGTGCTTACACCTACTATGCGCCATCATTCAAGGGCCGGTTCAGGATCTCCAGGGACAACGGGCAGAGCTCGGTGACGCTGACCATGAACAACCTCAAGGATGAGGATTCCGCCGTTTATTTCTGTGCCAAACGTGCTTATGGTGATAATTGGGCTTAAGCTGATGCTTATCATTTTGTCCCCGTCCCTGTGCCCTTGCTCCCCTCCTGTCCCCATTCCCCTGGCCCTTCCCCCAAATCCCAAGCCCTGACTCCGTTCTTGTCCCCGTGTCCCAACCCTGATAAGACCCAGATATCTGATTTGGGCTGATCCCCGAGCCATGCAGGCCAATCTGGATAATTCTTGGAGACAGAGTGCCCCAACACCCAATCAGCTAAGAGATGCCACCATCTCAGCAAGCTCAGTGATTTCAGCTCTTTAGGGATTCTCAGCTCCCTCAGGATTTCAGCTATTTAGTGATTTCAGCTCTTTCGTGATTATCAACTCTCTCAGGATTTCAGCTCTTTCGTGATTCTCAGCTCTCAGGATTCAGCCTCTTTGCTCACTCGCTGGGGCGCCTTTGGCTGGGTCAGAAACAGACGGACAGAGAGGAGCAGGAGAGGTCCTGGTGGTTCCACAGCCATGGTTCATTGAGGGATCTGTGAGGGGTTCCAGCGACAGCTCTTCTCTGGTCAGATGGGCTAAACCAGCCCCTTTTTATAGGGTACAGGGGGATCCAAACGTGTGCAACAGTGAGGGTCAGGGAGAAGTCACCAATAGGGTTACAGAGATAAGCTCTGGTGTGAGAGGTAGAAGACAGGAGATCATTTTACTGTCCCATCATGGCTAAGCAGTTCAGCTGTTACGTCTCAATCCTGCATGGAGCTCTCGCAATCTCTGTGGACTCTGCTAAAGGACATGAGGTCAACACGATAGGCAACAGTCTCCCAGCCAGTGCCATCCTTAACTGATTTGGCGCAGAAATAGGATCCGGAATCCTCGTCCTTGACGTTGTTCATGGTCAGCGTCAGCGAGCTCTGCCCGTTGCCCCTGGAGATCGTGATCCGGCCCTTGACAGACGGCGCGTAGGCGGTGGTGCCACCACTGGTGATCCCCGCCAGCAACTCCAGCGCCTGTCGTGGTCTCTGATGGATCCAGCACATGGTGGAACTGCCAAAACTGAACCCGGACCCTCGGCAGAGGGGGAGTGGAGTTTCCCCCCGCACTCAAGCTGGGTCACGGCCGCTCCCCCATCCCCAAACCTTCGGTGGTTTCGCCACCAATTCCCTTTGCTTGTCCCCAGACATCCAACAGAGGTATCCTGAATGGTAAAGTGCCTTCACCCCTGCAATTAGCCCCAATCCTCCCATTAATTTTTCTGACAGCTCTGCCTGACTTTTGCATCTACTCACCCCCATCTCCCCTTTGTCCCACAGGGCTCCGGGCGGCCGTGACCCTGCTGGAGTGTGGGGGCGAACTCCAGCCCCCCGAGGGATCCCTGCGCCTCCTCTGCCGAGGGTCCGGATTCAGTTTTGGACAAACCTGTTTTATTTGGGTTCGCCAACAGCCTGGGCACGGGGCTAGAAGGGGTTGCGCGCATTGACTACGATGGAGACACCTACTACTGGGATACGTTTAAGGGTCGGTTCAGGATCTCCAGGGACAACGGGCAGAGCTCGGTGACGCTGACCATGAACAACCTCAAGGATGAGGATTCCGCCGCCTATTTCTGTGGGAAAGCTCCAGAAGGAAAATATGATCAAGCAGCTGTTTATGGTTTTGACCCCTTTCCCATGCCTGTGTCCCCACCTGTCCCCATTCCCCAGACCCTTCCACCAATCCCCAGCCCCTGACCCCATTCCTGTCCCCGGTGTCCCAGCTCTGAGCTGGTTCTGTCCCAGATCTCAGCTCTTGGCTCTGAGGCTCAACCAAGGTCCCCAAACCTGGGTGCACATGGTTGAGATTTGGGGAAAATGGGCAATATTTTGGTCCGTGGGGCTCAACAATGGGGTCAAGGGCGGGAGAGAAGGACCTGGGGAATGGGGAGAGGTGGGGATGCGGTGATGGGACAGGGTCAAAACCATCAGAACCAGCACCAGAACTGGAACCAGCCTCTCTGGCACAGAAATAGGATCCGGAATCCACGACCTTGAGGTTGTTCATGGTCAGCGTCACCGAGCTCTGCCCGTTGACCTGGGAGATCGTGAACCGGCCCTTGACCGACAGCGCGTAGCTGGTGCCACCTCTGCTGGTGATCCATGCCACTCATTCTAGCCCCTGCCCGGGTCTCTGGCAGACCCAGTTCATGGCAAAAATTCCAAAATTGAACCCGGACCCTCGGCAGAGGAGGCGCAGGGACCCCCCGGGGGGCTAGAGGTCCCCCCTGCACTCCAGCAGGGTCACAGCTGCCCGGAGCCCTGCGGGACAAAGGGGAGATGATGGAAACAAGGAATCTGATTGGTCCAGAAGGGGAAAAGGGGCATGGCTTGCAGAAAAAAGGGGCAGGACCCACTTGAGAGGGCAGCTAGGAGGAGGATATGGCGGCAGAAGTGTCAAAATTTGGGGCCAAAAGTCGGGGTTTGGGTCAAGGGTTGAGCTTTGTCCTCATCCCCATCTCTGTTCTGGCCCAGAATTTCAGTGGTGGACCTGAGTCACAGACACACACCAAATATGGCCCATTTTCCCCAAATCTTGACCATTTGCACCCTGGTTTGGAGACCTAGGCTGAGATTGGAGCCCAGAGCTGAGGTTTGGGGCCAAGACCTGAGAATGTGGGACAGAGTCAGTTCAGAGCTGGGTCACGGGGACAGGAATGGGGTCGTGGGCTAGGGTGTGGGGAAGGGGCTGGGGAATGGGGACAGGTGGGGACACAGGGATGGGGATGAGGTGAACACCATCCACACCAGCAGCAGCACCCCAGTTATTATAGGCAGCTTTGGCACAGAAATAGGATCCGGAACCCTCGTCCTTGAGGTTGTTCATGGTCAGCGTCACCGAGCTCTGCCCGTTGTCCCTGGAGATCGTGAACCGGCCCTTGACGGACGGCGCGTAGTAGGTGCTGCCACCACTACTGCTGATACTTCCAACCCATTCCAGCCCATGCCTGAGTCTCTGGCGGATCCAGAGCATGTCAGAGTTGCCGAAATAAAACCCGGACCCTCAGCAGAGGAGGCGCAGGGACCCCCCGGGGGGCTGGAGGTCCCCCCTGCACTCCAGCAGGGTCATGGCCACCTGGAGCTCTGCGGGACAAAGGGAAGATGGGGATGTGACCAAAGCTCAAACCATATCCTGCCTATTGGCCCCAAATTCTAACCCTTGGAGTTCATCACCCTCCTCTCACATGTGTCCCACCACTTTTTCAAGCGTGCCATGCCAACTTGGGCACTCTTGACCACTCAGGTTTCCCATCCCCATCTCCCCTTTGTCCCGCAGGTCTCCAGGTGGCCGTGACCCTGCTGGAGTGCGGAGGGGACCTCCAGCCCCCCGGGGGGTCCCTGCGCCTTCTCTGCCGAGGGTCCGGGTTCAGTTTTGGGGATTATGGAATGTACTGGATCCGCCAGAGACCCGGGCAGGCTTTGGAATACATCGCAGGAATCTACTTAAATAGTGCCAACACCTTCTACGCGCCGTCGGTCAAGGGCCAGTTCAGGATCTCCAGGGACAACGGGCAGAGCTCGGTGACGCTGACCATGAACAACCTCAAGGACAAGGATTCCACTGTTTTGTTCTGCGCCAAGTGTGCTGCTAATAATTACCCTGAACATGCTGCTCGTATTGACGATGTCCATGGTGTCCCCATCCCCATCACCTTATCCCCCCCCTGTGCCCGTTCCCCAGACCCTTCCCCCAAACCCCCAGCCCACACCCAGCCCTTGACCATTGATCCCAACCTTGCTCTACCTCGGCCCCAATTCTTACCCGCTGACCCCAAACCACAACTCCTGACCCCAAATCTCCACTTTGTGCCCCAAACTTTGCTCTGAAGGTCAGGGTTTGAGGCCCAGGGTCCCGATTTGGAGGCAAAGGTTGAGAATTCGGTCAGCGGCGCCTCCTTCAGGGAGCCCAAGTGGGGATTTGGGGCAGATTTGGGCGATTTCTGGTGCCAAATTAGTTTTGTTTGGGGCAGAAGCGGTTCGTGGGTTTCGGCTCCTTGGTTGGTGGTGTTGGAAATGGGGGAGATCTGGCACAAAGGGTCAGGAATGGGGTCAATGGCTGAGATTTGGAGGAAGGGTCTGAGATTTGGGAACAGGAGGGGCTCAGAAATGGCGATGCCACCACCGGCACAGTCAGTATAAGTAGCAGCAGCGCTACCAGTGCTGTAAGATTTGGCACAGAAATAGGATCCGGAATCCTCGTCCTTGAGGTTGTTAAAGGTCAGCGTCACCGAGCTCTGCCCGTTTTCCCTGGAGATCGTAAACCGGCCCGTGACCGAATTTGCATAGTAGGTGCTGCCACTGCTGCTGATAGTGGCGACTGGCTCCAGCCCCTGCCCAGGTCTCTGGCGATGCCAGCCCATCCCAAAACTGCCAAAATCGAACCCGGACCCTTGGCAGAGAAGGCGCAGGGACCCCCCGGGGGGCTGGAGTTCCCCCCCGGGCACCAGAAGGGTCACGGCCGCCCGGAGCGCTGCGGGACAAAGGGGAAATGGGCACGTGGCGATGCAAAAGTCGGGTGGAGCTGTCAAATTAATTAATGGGTGGATCTGGGTTAATTTCTGTGTTGAAGGCACTTTACAATACTGGAGTCCTCTGTTGGAGAATTGGGGTCAGATAAAGGGAATTTGGGGCAAACTGGTGAAGGTTTCGGGATGGTGAAACGGCCGTGACCCTGCTGCAGTGCGGGGGGGACCTCCAGCCCCCACGGGGATCCCTGCGCCTCCTCTGCCGAGGGTCCGGATTCGATTTTGGCAGTTTTGGGATGGGCTGGCATCGGCGGAGACCCGGGCAGGGGCTGGAGCCAGTCGCCAATATCAGCAAAAGTGGCAGCACCTGGTACGCGCCATCGGTCAAGGGCCAGGTAACGATCTCCAGGGACAACAGGCAGAGCTCGGTGACGCTGACCATGAACAACCTCAAGGACGAGGATTCCGGATCCTATTTCTGTGCCAAATCTGCTTATGGTGGTGGTGCTTATGCTGCTGCTGATATTGACCCTGCCGGTGGTGGAACCACCATTTCTGAGCCCTTCCTGTCCCCACTCCCCAGACCCTTTCCCAAATCTCAGCCCTTGACCCCATTCCTGACCCTTTCCCCCAGATCTCCCCCATTTCCAGCAACGCCAACCACGAAGCCACAAAGCCCTTAATTGTTCTGCCCCAAACCAAAGTAAGTTGGCACCAAAATTCGCCCCAATTGTCCACGTTGTCCTCAAATTGCCCCCTGCTCCTCGAGCCCTGATTGGCTGAGCTGGAACAGGCAAAAATGGGAACTCTTGGAGAGCAAGATCAGACCTGGAGCTCAGGGGTGAAGGTTTGGGGCCAATGGTTGAGTTTTTGGGCAGGAGCAGGGCAGGGTTTGTGGTCAGTGCTGACCATTGGTGCAAATGGGGACAAAGAGTCAAGGGCTGGCTCAATGGGTGACATTTGGGACTAAAATCACAACTCTTGGGACTCAATGATGGGAGCGGTGCCAGAACCAGGAGCTGGACGCCATAACGTGCAACATCAACATAACCAGCACTAGGAACACAAACAGAGCATGAAGCTTTCCCACAGAAATAGGATCCGGAATCCTCATCCTTGAGGTTGTTCATGGTCAGCGTCACCGAGCTCTGCCCGTTGTCCCTGGAGATCCTGAACCGGCCCTTGACCGATGGTGCATAGTAGATGGTGCCACCACTGCTGTAGATCCCTGCAACATATTCCAAAGCCTGCCCGGGTCTCTGGCGGATCCAGTAAATTCCATAATCCCCAAAACTGAACCCGGACCCTCGGCACAGCAAAGTCAGGGGCCCCCGGGGGGCTGGATGTTCCCCCCAGACTCCAGCAGGGTCACGGCTGCCCGGAGCCCTGCGGGACAAAGGGGATGAGAAACGTCATTGGCTGTGGGTTCAAAGCGGGTGTGGTCTGCTGGAAAATGGGATGTGACTCACCTGGGATGCGGATGATGAACTCCAAGGGTCCTAATTTAGGGCCACGAGTCAGGATTTGGGTCAAGGGTTGAGCTTTGGTCTCATCCCCATCTCCCCTTTGTCCCGCAGGGCTCCGGGCGGCCGTGACCCTGCTGGAGTGCGGGGGGCACCTCCAGCCCCCCGGGGGGTCCCTGCGCCTCCTCTGCCGAGGGTCCAGGTTCAGTTTCGGCAGTGTCACCATGTGCTGGGTGCGCCAGAGGCCCAGGCAGCGGCTGGAATGTCTCACAGGGATCTACAGCAGTGGCAGAGCCTACTATGCAGCTTCAGTCAAGGGCCGGTTCACTATCTCCAGGGACAATGGGCAGAGCTCGGTGACGCTGACCATGAACAACCTCAAGGACGAGGATTCCGGATCCTATTTCTGTGCCAAATATATTGATAATAGTTGTTGCGGTGCAGGTGCTCCTCTTGGTCAATCTGATCCCATCATTGGGTCCCCCTGTCCCCATTTCCCCGACACTTCCTCCATTCCTGTCCCCCTGTCCCAGCTCTGAGCTGGTTGTGCCCCAATCTCAGCTCTTGTCCCCAAACCTCAGCTCTGGGCACCGAGTCTCAACCAAGGTCCACAAACCTGGGTGCAAATGATCAAGATTTGGGGAAAATGGGCCAGATTTGGGTCTGTGCCTGCGACTCAGTTCCACCGCTGAGATTTTGGGGCAGAACGGGTCCAGTTGGCAAAAATGGTTGGGATTTCTGGGACGAGGGTGAGCTCAGCGTGAAAACGGCCTTGATTTGGGGCCAGAGCTGAGATTTGGGGCCACAGAAGGGCAGGGTTGGCACAAAGGGTCAGGAATATTGTCAGGGGTTGGAGGGAAGGGTCTGGGGAATGGGGACAGGGACGAGGCTGAAAGGACAACCAGCAGCAGCATTCGAACCACCAGTGCGTGGTTCTTTGGCACAGAAATAAACGGCAGAATCCTCGTCCTTGAGGTTGTTCATGGTCAGCGTCACCGAGCTCTGCCCGTTGTCCCTGGAGATCCTGACGCGATCCTTGAACGATGGCGCGAGGTTGGTGCCGGAGCCATTGCTCCTGATGCTTCCGACCCTGTCCAGCCCCTGCCCGGGTCTCTGTCGGAACCATTGCAGGGCAACACTCCTGAAACTGAACCCGGACCCTTGGCAAGGGAGGCGCAGGGACCCCCCGGGGAGCTGGAACTCCTCCCCGCACTCCAGCAGGGTCACGGCCGCCCGGAGCCCTCTAGGAAAAAGGGGAGATGGGGATGGGAAACCTGATTGGCCGAGGGCCTCAAAGCAGGTATGGCCAGCTTGAAAAAGGGGCAGGACCCACTTGGGAGGAGGATGATGAACTCCAAGGGACCCAATGTGGGGCCAAGAGTCAGGATTTGGATCAACGGTTGAGCTTTTCCATCCCCTTTGTCTTGCGGGTCTCCGGGTGGCCGTGACCCTTCTGGAGTGTGGGGGGGACCTCCAGCCCCCCGGGGGGTCCCTGCGCCTCCTCTGCTGAGGGTCCGGGTTTTATTTCGGCAGTTTTGGAATGGGCGGGGTCCGCCAGAGACCCGGGCAGGCGCTGGAGTTCATAGCACACATCAACACTGCTGGCACCACCCACTATGGAGATTCAGTCCAGGGCCGGGTCACGATCTCCAGGGATAATGGGCAGAGCTCGGTGACACTGACCATGACCAACCTCACGGATGAGGATTCCGGATCCTATTTCTGTGCCAAGGATTCCTATGGTGGCTGGAATGTCGCCCATTCCATTGGTTTCATTCCCGGTGTTTGGGTTGGTGTTTGGGGTTTCAGCCCCGTTCCTGTCCCCAGCTGTCCCCAGACCCTTCCTCAAACCCCCCTGACCCACCCCTGACCCTTTGTCCCACCCCTGCCCCGTTTGCCCCAACGCTGCCCATTGACCCCAAACCCTGCCCTGGGTCTGGCCCCAAAGCCAACTCTCGGCTCCAAATCTCCCCCTTGTGCCCCAAAAGTGCCCCAAGGGCAGAGATTTGGGGCAGCGGGTGAGGTTTGGATCAGCAGCTGTGGCTGGGAGCCCAGAGTCGGGATTTGGGGCAGAATCGGGCGAGTTTTGGGCGAAAGCAGGATGGTTTTGGGCAGAACCAGTTTGGGGGTTTGGGGTCTTTGGGGGAAATGGGGCAGATCTGGGCAAATGGGTCAAGAATGGGGTCAAGGGCTGAGATTTGGGTAAAGGTTCTGAGATTTGGGGACAAGAGGGGCTCAGGCAAGGGCGCTGCCACGACCGGCATGGTCAATGTAAGTAGCATCAGCAGCCCAACCAGCACCAGCAGCTTTGGCACAGAAATAGGATCCGGAATCCTCGACTCTGAGGTTGTTCATGGTCAGCATCACCGAGCTCAGCCCGTTGTCCCTGGAGATCGTGACCCAGCCCTGCACTGACGGTGCGTACATGGAGCTCCAGCCCTCCTTCCTGATGTTCCCAACCCACTCCAGCCCCTGCCCGGGTCTCTGGCGGACCCAGAACATGGTGATGCCACCGACATCAAACCCGGACTCTCGGCACAGCAACGTCAGGGACCCCCCGGGGGGCTTGAGGTGCCCCCCGCACTCCAGCAGGGTCACGGCCCCCCAGAGCCCTGCGGGACAAAGAGGAGATGGGGATGAGAAACCTGATAGGTCAAGAGTGCCCATTTAGGCATAGCACACTTGAAAAAAGGGATGTGACCCACCTGGGAGGAGGATGATGATGACCAAGGGTCCCAATTTGGGGCCAGGGGTCAGGATTGTGTGTTCAAGGGTTGAGCTTAGGCCTCATCCCCATCTCCCCTTTGTCCCGCAGGGCTCCGGGCAGCCGTGACCCTGCTGGGGTCCGGGGGGATCTCCAGCCCCCCGGGGAGTCCCTGCGCCTCCTCTGCTGAGGGTCCGGGTTCAGTTTCAGCAGTTTTCCCACACAATGGATCCGCCAGAGACCCGGGCAGGGGCTGGAATACATTGCGGGGATCTGGAGCAGTGGCGCTTACACCTACTACAGTCCATCGGTCAAGGGCCGGTTCACGATTTCCAGGAACAACGGGCAGAGCTCGGTAATGCTGACCATGAACAACCTCAAGGACGAGGATTCCGGGTCCTATTTCCGTGTGAAATCTTTTAATACTGCTACTCCTGCTGCTGGTTATGGTGACAGGGCTGGTGTTGGTCCTGTTCCCATGTCTGTGTCCCCACCTGTCCCCATTCCCCAGACCCTTCCCTCAAACCCCTAATCCTACTTTTGACCCTTTGTCCCATCCTTGCCCTGCTCTGACCCCAAATCTCAGCTCCTGGCCCCAAATCAGGGCCGGTTTCACCCTGAGCTCACCCTCGTCCCACCAATCCCAACCATTTTTGCCCAACTGGACCCATTCTGCCCCAGAATTTCAGTGGTGGAACTGTGTCATAGCCACGGACCCAATCTGGCCCATTTTCCCCAAATCTCAATCATTTGCACCCAGGTTTGGGGACCTTGGTTGAGGCTTGGAGCTAGCAGCTGAGATTGGGGCCAAGAGCTGAGATTTGGGGCAGAACCAGCTCAGAGCAGGGACAGGGGACTGGAATGGAGGAAGAGTCTTGGGAATGGGGACAGATGGGGACCCGACGATGGGATCAGATGGATCAAGAGGAGCACCAGCACTGCAAAAATTTTTATCAATATTTTTGGCACAGAAATAGGATCCGGAATCCTCGTCCTTGAGGTTGTTAAAGGTCAGCGTCACCGAGCTCTGCCCGTTGTCCCTGGAGATTGTGAACCGGCCCTTGACTGAATCCGCATAGTAGGCGCTGCCACTGCTGTAGATCCCTGCGAGGCATTCCAGCCCCAGCCTGGGTCTCTGGCGCACCCAGTACATGGTGACACTGCCAAAACTGAACCCGGACCCTTGGCAGAGGAGGCGCAGGGACCCCCTGGGGGGCTGGAGGTTTCCCCCCGCACTCCAGCAGGGTCACGGCTGCCCGGTCCCGCCCTGCGGGACAAAGGGGAGATGGGGATGGGAAACCTGATTGGTGAAGAGTGCCCAAGTTGGCATTGCATGACTAAAATAGGGGTGGGACCCCTGTAGGAGGAGGATGATGAACTCCAAGGGTTCCAGTTTGGGGCCAAGGGTCAGGATTTGGGTCAAGGGTTGAGCTTTGGCCCCATCCCCATCTCCCCTTTGTCCCGCAGGGCTCGGGGCGGCCGTGACCCTGCTGGAGTGCGGGGGGGACCTCCAGCCCCCCGGGGGGTCCCCGCACCTCCTCTGCCGAGGGGCCAGGTTCAGTTTTGGCAGTGTTGCCATGAACTGGATCCGCCAGAGACCCGGGCAGGGGCTGGAGTACGTTGCAGATATCAGTAATGGTGGTGGCAGCACTGATTATACGCCGTCGGTCGAGGGCCGGGTCACGATCTCCAGGGACAACGGGCAGAGCTTGGTGACGCTGACCATGAACAACCTCAAGGACGAGGATTCCGCACCTATTTCTGTGCCAAATCTCCTGGTACTGGTGGTGCTGGTGCCAATTATATTTAGAATGCCGGTGATGGCCCCATCACCTGACACTGGGCTCACAGACATCCCAAAATTCCTACTTTTAACATCAAATCTTTGCCCTTTTCAACAAACCTTGACATTTTTCCCCCAATCTCCACCATCATTGCCTCACCTCTCACATTTCTCTTGCAGCTTTAGGCATTTGACCCAAATCTCACCTCTTCATGCCTAAAACAGTGCCCTTTGCACCCCAGATCTCAGAGGGGTTCACTTGTGACCATTGGCCCCAAACTCAGCTGGTTCTGCCCCAAATCTCAGCTCCTGGACCCAAACATCAACTCTGGGCCCCAAACCTCAGCCAAGGTCCCCAAATCTCGGTGCAAATGGTTGAGATTTTGGGGAAAATTGGCCAGATTTGGGTCGGTGGGGGTCAGGGATGGGGTCAAGGGCTGGAGGGAATGGTCTGGGGAATGGGGACAGGTGGGGACACAGGGATAGGCACAAGTCAATGGATTCGGGGGCACCAGCATCAATGTTAGTGCTGGACTCCTTGGCGCAGAAATAGGATAGGATCCGGAATCCTCGTCTTTGAGGTTGTTGACGGTCAGGGACATGGAGCTCTGCCCGTTGTCCCTGGAGATCGCGACCCGGCCCCGCAGTGACGGCGCGTAGTCAGTGCCACCGTGGCTGTCGATGGCGGCCACCAACTGCAGCCCCTTCCCGGGGCTCTGGCGGATCCAGTGCAGATCAGAATGACTGAAACGGAAACCGGCCCCAAGGCAGAGGAGGCGCAGGGACCCCCCAGGGAGATAGGGATGAGGCCAAACCTCAACATTGACCCAAATCCTGACTCTTGGCCCCAAACTTGGACCCTTGGAGTTCCTCATCCTCCCCCCATGTGGGTCTCGATACTTTATCAAGCTTGATCCTCCCAGTTTGCACCCCTCGACCAATCAGGTTTCCCATCCCTATCTCCCCTTTGTCCAACAGGGCTCTGGGCGGCCGTGACCCTGCTGGAGTGCGGGGCGAAGCTCCAGCCCCCCGGGGGGTCGCTGCGCCTCCCCTGCCGAGGGGCCAGGTTCGATTTCAGACAGTCTGGAATGATGTGGATCCACCAGAGACAGGGACAGGCTCAGGAATGGGTCGCAGGGATCAGCAGTGGTTCCTACACCGCATACGCGCCATCTGTAAAGGGCCGGTTCACAATCTCCAGGGACAACGGGCAGAGGTCAGTGACGCTGACCATGAACAACCTCAAGGACGAGGATTCCGGATCCTATTTCTGTGCAAAGTCTCCTTATGCTGGTTCAAATTACGAAGCTTATTGTATTGATGTTGGTTTCAGCCCTGCCTTTCTTGATGGGTTCCCAAATGCCCCGAGTCCTCAGACCCTCCCCCCAAACCTCAGCCCTTGGCCCTTTGTCCCAAATCTCCCCCATTTCCACCAATGGTCAGCATTGACCCCAAACCCTCCCCTGCTCCTGCCCCAAAACTCAACCATTGGCCCCAAACCTTCACCCCTGGCCTCCAGTTCAGGCCTCCTTCAATCAGGGCCCAGGGAGCTGGGGGAGATTTGGGTGAAATGGGCAAAACTGGGGGAAAGCCGAGAGTTGGGGCAGCAGGGGAGGAGTTTGGAAGGAACTGGTGAAGATTTGATGAACAGAGCTGGGAGTCGGGGCAGGATCTCTGGGGATTTGTGGGCACTTGGGACTGCAATGGGGCTGGGGCCACGGCAGGAATTGTCAATACTAGCAGGACCAGCAAAACTATAACCATTACTGCTACGTTTGGCGCAGAAATAAGCGGCGGAATCCTCGTCCTTGAGGTTGTTCATGGTCAGCGCCACCGAGCTCTGCCCGTTGTCCCTGGAGATCCTGAACCGGCCCTTGACCGATGGCGCGTAGTAGGTGTTGGCACCATTGTAGTAGATGCTTGCGAAGTATTCCAAAGCCTGTCCGGGTCTCTGGCGGATCCAGAACATGGAGAAACTCCCGAAATCGAACCCGGAGCCTCGGCAGAGGAGGTGCAGGGACCCCCTGGGGGTCTGGAGGTCCCCCCCACACTCCAGCAGGGTCATGGCCGCCCGGAGCCCTGCGGGACAAAGGGGAGATGGGGATGAGAAACCTGATTGGTCGAAGGCCTCCTAGTGGGCTAGGCCAGCTGGAAGAAGGGGCAGGACCCACCTGGGAGGAGGATGATGAAATTCAAGGGTCCCAGTTTAGGGCCAACTGTCAGGATTTGGGTCAAGGGTTGAGCTTTGGCCCCATCCCCATCTCCACTCTTTCCCGCAGGGCTCCGGGCGGCCGTGACCCTGCTGGAGTTCGGGGGGGAACTCCAGCCCCCCGGGGGGTCCCTGATCCTCCTCTGCCTGGGGTCTGAGTTCGATTTTGACAAATTTGACCTGTTCTGGATGCATCAGAGACCTGGGCAGGGGCTGGAATTCATCGCCAGCATCTACTACGGCAGTGGGGGTTACACCTTCTACGCGCCGTCGGTGCAAGGCCGGTTCACAATCTCCCGGGACAATGGGCAGAGCTCCATGTCCCTGACCATGACCAACCTCAAGGACGAGGATACCGGATCCTATTTCTGCGCCAGATCTGCTCCTGGTTACTATAATTATGGTGCTGGTTATACTGACGGTGAAGGTCACCCCATCCCCAACCAGCATTAGGAGCAGCACCATAACCATCAGCATCCTTGGCACAGAAATAGGATCTAGAATCCTCGTCCTTGAGGTTGTTCATGGTCTGCGTCACCGAGCTCTGCCTGTTGTACCTGGAGATCCTGAACCGTCCCTGCACCGACAGCGCGTAGTAGGTGGCACCATTGCTCCAGATCGCTGCGATCCATTCCAGCCCTGCCTGGGTCTCTGGCGCATCCAGCCCATCCCAAAACTGCCAAAATCGAACCCGGACCCTCGGCAGAGGAGGCGCAGGGACCCCCGGGGGGCTGGAGGCCCCCCCCGCACTCCAGCAGGGTCACCGCCGCCCGGAGCCCATCCCCAAACCTTCACCAATTTCTCCCATAACTCCCCTTGTTTGGTCCCAAAACCCCACCAGAGTTTTCCATACCTCAACATGCCTCAAAACCTGCAATTTACCCCAATCCATTCTTTAATTACTTAGACACCTCATCCTGAGCATTCTGCATTGATTGCACAGTTAATACACTGTGAACGACACCCAATTCCCCCTGGGATCCCAACCCGGGCACATCCCGGCCTTGGCCTCAAGCTCCCTCTGGCTCCTGGCCCTGCTGCTCCTGCTGCCCCTCCCAGGTGGCCCTGCCTCTTTTTCCTGGAAGTGACTCCCCTTTTCCCCTTCTGGACCAATCAGGTTTCCCATCCCCATCTCCCCTTTGTCCCGCAGGGCTCCGGGCGGCCGTGACCCTGCTGGAGTGCGGGGGGGGAACTCCAGGCCCCCAGGGGGTCCCTGTGCCTTCTCTGCCGAGGGTCCGGGTTCGATTTTGGCAGTTTTGGGATGGGCTGGATGCGCCAGAGACCCAGGAAGACACTGGAATACATCGCAGCTATCAGCAACAGTGACAGCACCTGGCACGCGCCATCGGTGCAGGGCCGGTTCACGATCTCCAGGGACAACGGGCAGAGCTCGGTGACGCTGACCATGAATAACCTCAAGGACGAGGATTCCGCCACCTATTTCTGTGCCAAATGTTACACCAGTAGTTGTGGTAATGCTGCTTATGCTTATGGTGTTGATGGTGGTTGTGGCCTTAAGCCCTTTCTTCTGTGTTTCCACAAATCACAGCATTCTCATATCCTTCCCCAAAATCCCGGCTCTTTTTCTCACATCTCAGATATTTTCCCCCACACTCCACCATCACTTCCCCAATTCCCAATTTCCCCCCAATTTTCCCCATTTCTCCCCAGTCTGGCCCTTCCCCTCCGTCCCAGTGTGGAACGGGGATCACTCCAGGGCCCTTTGCACACAAAGCTTTTTGTGCAGCCGGTGCTCTGCCGCAGCACCCCGAGACTGAGCTGCCCTCTGCCAAACACAGATGTTCACAATGACCAAAACCAGGAACTCTCTGTTTCCTTTCCCACCCCAGCCGTGCCGTAGCAGTTGCCGGGGAGGAAGTGGGGGGAGGCTGCGGAGCCCCAAAATCGTGGCGTCTTCTCCTCCCTCCCTCCCTCGCTCCCACCTGGGGCTTCACTTCTCCCTCAGCAGCCGCGGTGTCTGAGACTGCTCCCTGGGGCTGGACTGGAATCCTCTCAGGGATCTATGGAGAAAAAACCCTTTTTTTTTCCCAAAAACACATGAAAGTTAGGGGAGATGAAATTGTTGAAATTGATCTTGAGGCAAGGGCTCCTTGCTGAGAGAAGCAGATGGGTGCAAGGGTGGAGTCACCTGGAACGTTCCATCGGTCAAGGGCAGGGTCAGAATGGCCAAGGAGAGCTCAGGAGCCAAAATGGCCCTGAGTGGGCCCCGAGCTGAGGTGTGGGGCCAGGAGCTGAGAATGTGGGGCAGAGTCAGGGCAGGATTGGGGCACGGGGACAGGAATGGGGTCAGGGCCTGGGGATTGGGGAAGGGTCTGGGACAGGTGAGGGCAAGTGGTGACACAGCTATGGGGTGGGGCCATTACCATAGGCATCATTGTCACCAGCAGTAGCACCAGCACCCTTGGCACAGAAATAGGATCCGGAATCCTCGTCCTTGAGGTAGTTCATGGTCAGTGTCACCAGTCTCTGCCCGTTGTCCCTGGAGGTTCTGAACTGGCCCTTGACCGATGGCGCGTACTCGGTGTAAGCACAATTGCAGCTGATCACTGCGAGTCACTGCAGCCCCTGCCCGGGTCCCTCACGGACCCAGTTCATTCCAAAACTGCCAAAATAGAACCCGGACCCTTGGCAGCGGAGGTGCAGGGAGCCCCGGGGGGCTGAAGGCCCCCCCCGCACTTCAGCAGGGTCACGGCCGCCCTGAGCCCTGTGGGACAAATGGGAGATGGGGATGAGGACAAAGCTCAACCCTTGACCAAAATCCTGACCCTTGGCCCCAAAATCGGATCTTTGGTTTTCATCATCCTTCCCCAGGAGGGTCCCGCCACTGTTTCGAACTGGCCAAACCCATCCTGAGTCCCTGGACCAATCAGGTTTCTCATCCCCATCTCCCCTCTGTCCCCCACAGCCCTCCGGGTGGCCGTGACCCTGCTGGAGTGCGGAGGGGACCTCCAGCCCCCCGGGGGGTCCCTGCGCCTCCTCTGCCGCACCTCTGGGTTTGATATCGAAAAATTTGCTATGCTGTGGATCTGCCAGAGACCCGGGCATAGGCTGGAATGTGTGGCGGGGATCAGCAGAAAAAGTGGAAGCATCTACTATGCGGACTCGGTCAAGGGCCGGTTCAGTATGGCGAGTGACAACGGGCAGAGCTCGCTGACGCTGACCATGAACAACCTCATGGACGAGGATTCCGGTTCCTATTTCTGTGCAAAAAGTAGTGGTGATATTTGTTGTAGAGGTGCTGCTGCTCTTGATACAACTGATCCAATCACTGGGTCCCTGTCTGCATCCCCGCACCCCAGACCCTTCCCCCAAATCCCATTCCTCACCCTGTGTCCCAGCCCTGCTCTGGCTCTGCCCTAAATGTCCCCTTTGGGCCACTCTCAGTGCCCTCGATCTCCAAATGTCACTGAAATGCCTGGATTTGGGCCCAAAGTTAGGATCAGGGATCAAGAATTCAAATTTGACCCAAAATTCCTGATGTGAGGCCAACGGGCAGATTTGGGTGGGTGGCTGTGACTCGGTGCCCGCAGGGGAGATTTGGGGTAAAATTGGACAAGTCTGGGCCCAGTGGTTGGGATAGGAGGGACGAGGCCGAGCTCAGAGTGAAACTGGCCCTGATTTGGGTCCAGGAGCTGAGATTTGGGGCCAGAGCAGGGCAGAGCTGGGACATGGGGACAGGAATGGGGTCAGGGGCTGGGGTTTGGGGAAAGAATTTGGAAAATGGGGACAAGTAGGGAAACACCAATGTCGATGCGGACAAAAGGATTCGCAGCAACAGCCCAACCAGTGCCTCCATATTTGGCACAAACCTCGTCCTTGAGGTTGTTCATGGTCAGTGTCACCGAGCTCTGCCCATTGTCCCTGGAGATCCTGAACCGACCCATGACCGACGGCGCGTACCAGGTGCTGCCACCATTGCTGGTGATCCCTGTGACATATTCCAGCCCCTGCCCGGGTCTCTGGCGGATCCAGTACATGTCAAAATTCCCTAAACTGAACCCGGACCCTCGGCAGAGGAGGCGCAGGGACCCCCCTGGGGGCTGGAGTTCCCCCCCGCACTCCAGAAGGGTCACGGCCGCCTGGAGCCCTGCGGGAAGAACGGGTGATTAAAAATGAGTAATCTGATTGGTCGCGGGCTTCAAAGTGGGCGTGGCCAGTGGGAAAACGGGGCAGGACCCACCTGGGAAGGGCAGCAGGATCAGCAGGGCCAGGAGCCGGAGGGAGCTCAAGGCCGTGGCTTGGATGTGCCGGGTTGGGGTCTTGGAAGGTTTTGGGGGTCGTTTATGAGATATTACTTTTGAAGTCAATGTGGAAAACTGAGGAGCAGGTGTCCAATTAATTAATGAGAATATTGAATACAATTGCAGGGTTTGAGAAACCTTAGGATACCAGAAAAATCTGGTGGAGATTTGGGACCAAAGCAGGAGAGTTATGAGTGAAATTGGTGAAGATTTGGGGATGGGCTCCAGGGCGGCCATGACCCTGCTGGAGTGCGGGGGTGACCTCCAGCCCCCCAGGGGTTCCCTGCGCCTCCTCTGCCGAGGGGCCGGGTTCGATTTTGGGAGTTATGGAATGTTCTGGATCTGCCAGAGACCCCGGCAGACACTGGAATACATCGCCAGTATCAGCAGCAGTGGTGGCAGCACCGGCTACGCACCTTCAGTCAAGGGCCGGTTCAGGATCTCCATATACAACGGGCAGAGCTGGGTGACGCTGACCATGAACAACCTCAAGGACGAGGATTCCGCCACCTATTTCTGTGCCAAATCTGCTTATGGTGGTGGTGCTGATGCTGCTGCTAATATTGACCCTGCCGGTGGTCACACCACCATTTGTGAGCCCTTCCTGTCCCCAGTCCCCAGACCCTTCCCCAAATCACAACTCTTAACCCCATTCCTGAGCCTTTCCCAGGGACCTCCCCCATTTCCAGCAACGCCAACCATGGAGCCAAAAAGCCCCGACAGGTTCTGCCCCAAACCAAGAAAGTTGGCAGCAAAATTCACCCCAAATCTCCCCGATGTCTTCAAATCTCCTCAGGCTCCCGGGCCCTGATTGGAGGAGGCCTGAATTGGAGGCCAGGGGTGAAGGTTAGGGGCCAATGCTTCAGATTTGGGGCAGGAGCAGGGCAGGGTTTGGGGTCAGTGCTGACCATTGGTGTAAACGGGCACAAAGGATGAAGAGCTGAGTCAATGGGTGAGGTTTGGGATGAAAATCAGAGCTTTGGGAATAAAATGATGAGACCAGAGCAAATACCAGGAGCTTCACACCATCACAGGCACCATCACCATGACTAACAGGAGCCCAACAACCAGCACAAAAAGCGTTGGCACAGAAATAGGATCCGGAATCCTCGTCCTTGATGTTGTTCATGGTCAGCGTCACCGAGCTCTGCCCGTTGTCCCTGGAGATCGAGACCCGGCCCTTGACCGATGGCGCGTACTCGGTGTAACCTCCACTGTCACTGATCCGTGCAACGTACTCCAGGCCTTGTCCAGGCCTCTGTCGATACCAGCCCATGCCAAAACTGCCAAAATCGAACCCGGAGCCTCGGCAGAGGAGGCGGAAGGATCCCCCGGGGGGCTGGAGGTCCCGCCCGCACTCCAGCAGGGTCACGGCCGCCCGGAGCCCTGCGGGACAAAGGGGAGATGGGGATTGGGCCAAAGCTCAACCCTTGACCCCAATCCTGACTCTTGGCCCAAAATTGGGACCCTTGGAGTTTATCACCCTCCCCCCAGGAGGATTCTACCCCTTTGTCCAGCTGGCCACACCCCCTTGGAGGCCCTTTACCTATCAGACTTTAGATTTCCATCCTCTCCCCTTTTTCCTGCTGGGCTCCAGGCGGCTGTGACCCTGCTGGAGTGCGGGGGGGACCTCCTGCCCCTCAGGCGGTCCCTGCGCCTCCTCTGCCGAGGGTCCGGGTTCAGTTTCGGGAGCTACGACATGTTCTGGGTGCGCCAGAGACCCGGGCAGGGGCTGGAATGGCTCGCGTGGATCAGGAACGATGGTGGCAACTCCGGCTATGCGGATTCAGTCAAGGGCTGGTTCACGATCTCCAGGGACAACGGGCAGAGCTCGGTGACGCTGACCATGAACAACCTCAAGGACGAGGATTCCGGGTCCTATTTTTGCGCCAAATGTTACAGCAGTGGTTGTGGTCCTAATATTGATGCTGGTTATGATGACGATGCCAGTGGTGGCCCCTCCTCGATACTGTGCCCACAAACATCCCAAAACCCCACATTCTACCTCCAAATCTTTAGTGTTGGCCACAAATCTTGACCGTTTTCCCCAATCTCCCCAATCATTGTCTCACCTCACACATTTCAATGGGGCTTTCAGAATTTTTAAATGATTCTCAAAGGTTCATCCCCAAAACCCTGCCCTGTGTGCCCCAGATCACAGCGGGGTTCACTTGTTACTATTGGCTCCAAACTCTGCTGGTTGTGCCCCAAATCTCAGCTCTTGGCCCCTACCCTCAGCTCTTGCCTCCAAGGCTCAACCAAGGTCCCCCAAACCTGGGTGCAAATGGTCAAGATTTAGGAAAAATGGTCCAGATTTGGGTCTGTGGGGGTCAACAATGGGGTCAAGGGTAGGGGGGAAGGACCTGGGGAACGGGGACAGCTGGGGACACCGGGATGTAGCCAGGACCAAAATTAGAACCAGCAGCATGAGCCTCCCAACCCTAACCATCATAGGCGTTTTTGACACAGCAATAGGATCAGGAATCCTCGTCCTTGAGGTTGTTCATGGTCAGCATCAACGAGCTCTGCCCGTTGTCCCTGGAGATCCTGACCCAGCCCTTGAACGATGGCACATATCTGGGGGTGGAACCAGCACCGTTGATCCCAGCGACGAATTCCAGCTCCAGCCTGGGTCTCTGGCGGATCCAGAACATTGCAGATTTTGTGAAATTGAAGCCAGTGGTGTGGCACAGCAACGTCAGGGACCCCCCGGGGGGCTGGAGGTCCCCCCTGCACTCCAGCAGGGTCACGGCTGCCCGGAGCCCTGCGGGAAAAAGGGGAGATGGGGTTGGGGAGTTGGATTGGTTTTGGACCCAAAGTGGGCGTCGCCATGCCAGAAAAAGTGTGTGGGATACACCTGGGAGGGCCAGCAGGTTCTGCAGGAGGAGGATGGGGCGGTCCAAGGGTCCCAATGTGGGGCCAACATCAGGATCTGCTTGCAAGAATTTAAATTTGGGTAGTTTTTTTTATTCCTCACCATCTCCCCTTTGTCCCGCAGGGCTCCGGGCGGCTGTGACCCTGCTGGAGTGCGCGGGCACCTCCAGCCCCCCGAGGGGTCCCTGAACTTGCTGTGCCGTGCCTCTGGGTTCAGTTTTTGGACTTATGGAATGTTCTGGATCCGCCAGACACCCTGGCAGGGGCTGGAATACATCGCCAGTATCAGCAGCAGCGCTGGCAGCACCAAATACGCGCCGTCGGTCAAGGGCCGGGTCATGATCTCAAGGGACAACGGGCAGAGCTCGGTGACGCTGACCATGAACAACCTCAAGGAAGAGGATTCCGGATCCTGTTTCTGTGCCAAACATGCTGATAGTGGTTATGGTGGTGGTGCTGCTGCTTATAGTGACAGTGGCCGTGGCGGATCCATCCCCATCTCTGTGTCCTCACCTGTCCCCAAACCCAGACCCTTCCTTCAAATTGTCCCCCACACCTCAGCCCTTGACCCTTTGTTCCAAATCTCCCCCATTTGCAACAATGGTCAGCACTGACCCCAAACCCTCCCCTGCTCCTGCCCCCAAACTCAACCATTGACCCCAAACCTTCACCCCTGGGCTCCAGTTCAGGCCTTGCTCTCCAAGAGTTCCCATTTCTGCCTGTGCCAGCTCAGCCAATCAGGGTCTGTGGAACTGGGGGTGATTTGGGTGAAATGGGCAAATCTGGGAAAACATCAGGAATTCGGACAGCAATAGTGGAAACTGGGGAGTAAGGTCAAGAAAGGGGTCAAGGGTTGGGATTTGGGAGAAGTAATTTGGGAAATTTTGGGAACTCGGGCTGCGGCCTTGGGGCGATGCTGAGGATTGTCACCATAAGCAACAGCAGCACCATTCCAACCACTATCACTGCATCTGGCACAGAAATAGCATCCGGAATCCTCGTCCTTGAGGTTTTTCATGGTCAGCATCACCGAGCTCTGCCCATTGTCCCTGGAGATCGTGACCCGGCCCCTGAACGATGGATCGTAGTAGGTGCTGCCATCACTTTGGATCCCTCCAATGTCTTCAAGCCCCTGCCCGGGTCTCTGGCGCATCCAGCCCATCCCAAATTGTCCAAAATCGAACCCGGACCCACGGCAGAGGAGGCGCAGGGACCCTCCAGGTGGCTGGAGTTCCCCCCCGCACTCCAGCAGGGTCACGGCTGCTCCCTCATCACCAAACCTTCACTGGTTTGCCTCAAATTCCCTTTGTCTCGCCCCAAATCTCCAACAGAGATTTCCAGTATTGTAAAGTGCTTTAAGCCCTGCAATGAGCCCCAGTCCACTCATTAATTAATTGGACAGCTCTGCCTGACTTTTGCAACCCCTCATCCCCATCTCCCCTTTGTGCCGCAGGGCTCCGGGCGGCCGTGACCCTGCTGGGGTGCGGGGGGGACCTCCAGCCCCCCGGTGGTTCCCTGTGCCTCCTATGCCGAGGGTCCGGGTTCAATTTCGGGAGTTAAAAAGTGTTCTGGTTCTGCCAGAGGCCCGGGCAGGGGCTGGAATACGTTGCAGATATCAGCAACACTGGTGGCTACACCGAGTATGCGCCATCGGTCAAGGGCCAGGTCAGGATCTCCAGGGACAACGGGCAGAGCTCGGTGACGATGACCATGAACAACCTCAAGGACGAGGATTCTGGATCCTATTTCTGTGGGAAATGTGCTTATACTGGTGCTCGCAGTTCTGATGCTGGTGCTATTGATGTGCCGGGCTTGGCCCCATTCCCCAACCAGCATTGCAGGAGCATCCGGGCGAAGAACGGTCAAGACAGACAGACGGACACGAGAGATCTCTGCACCCAGGTCTGGAATTTGGGGTTTATTGCAAAGGACGAACTGCAGGGCCCTGCTGGGAGCTGCCAGGCACAGCTGGAGCAGGGCTGAGAGAAGAGAGGGGAGAGAGGATGAGAGGGTGAGAGAGTAAGAGAGTAAAAAAGGTAAATGAGTGAAAGGGTGAGAGAATAAAAAGGGTAAGAGAGTGAAAGAGTCAGTGAATAAAATGGTAGGAGTGTAAAAGGGTAAGAACATAAAACACTAAGAGCATAAAAGGGTAAGAGAGTGAGGTTCCCACCACAATAAAATAAATCTTCTTCTCTGTAGAATATTCTAATTCTCAGTGACCAATCTGGTCCAATATACAAACCCTACAGCATTTACACACAGCCTATAAGAATCGTTTCATTACCGTACTGTGTTACATTTTAAACACTAAAAATTGTTCTTTGGGACCCTTCTGCTAAGACTAAAACCTACTCTTTGGAAACCCTAAAAATTCATTTTTGGAGTAAGCTTGAACCCTAAAAACTGCTCTCTGGGGTAACTTTAAACCCAAAAAACAACTCTTTGGCCCCTTCTGCCAAGCTGTGGGGTCTGCTCTGACCCTTGGAGCTGTCTGCAGGCAGAGGGTGCTTTTCCATCAAAAGGGGATCACATTCAGCCGGCCACGCCGTTGTTTTCCAGTTGTTCAGTAACTGAGGGATCTCAAAGCTTTCTCGCATTTCAATCTCGCTGATGGTTTCCATATTCTCAAGATCTTTTGCCAGGCAATCCTATTGATAAGGCTTTGCTGTTCCATCTTCCCCAACCAGCATCAGCATAAGCATCGTGACCATCGGTGTCCTTGGCGCAGAAATAGGATCCGGAATCCTCATCCTTGAGGTTGTTCATGGTCAGCATCACCGAGCTCTGCCCGTTGTCCCTGGAGATCCTGAACCGGCCCTTGAAGGAATCCGCGTTCCTGGTAACGCTACCACTGCTGGTGACGGTTTCAAGCAACTGCAGCCCCTGCCCGGGTCGCTGGCGGATCCAGGCCATCCCAAAATTGCCAAAATTGAACCTGGACCCTCGGCAGAGGAGGCGCAGGGACCCCCCGGGGGGCTGGAGGTTACCCCTGCACTCCAGCAGGGTCACGGCCGCCCGGAGCCCTGCGGGACAAAGGGGAGATGGGGATGAGGAACCCTATTCGTCAAGGGACTCAAAGTGGGTGTGGCCTGCTGGAAAAGAGTCGGCACCCATTTTGGGGAAGGTTGAGAATGTCTAGGGGTCAGAATTTTGGGCCAATAATCAGAATTTTTGTCAAGGGTTGAGCTTTGGCCTCATGCCCATCTCCCCTTTGTCCCGCAGGGCTCCAGGCGGCTGTGACCATGCTGGAGTGCGGGCAGGACCTCCAGCCCCCCGGGGGGTCCCTGCGCCCCCTCTGCCAAGTGACTGGGTTCGATTTTTACAGCAATTTTGCCATGAACTGGATCCGACAGAGACCCGGGCAGGGGCTGGAATGGCTCGCTGGAATCTAGAAAACTGCTTCCAGCACCTACTACGCGCCATCAGTCAAGGGCCGGTACACAATCTCCAGGGACAACGGGCAGTGCTCGGTGACGCTGACCATGAACAACCTCAAGGATGAGGATTCCGCCACCTATTTCTGTGCCTAATCTTCTGATGCTGGTGCTGCTCTTGGTGCTGTTATTGGTGTTAGTGTTGGTGTTTGGGGTTTCAGCCCCGTCCCTGTCCCCAGCTGTCCCCAGACCCTTCCCCAAACCCCCTGACCCACCCCTGACCCTTTGTCCCAACCCCGCCCCCTTTGCCCCAGCATTGCCAATCGGCCCCCAACCCTCCCGCGGGGTCTGGCTCCAAACTCAACTCTCGGCCCCAAATCTCACCCTGGCCCCCAAAAGTGCCCAAAAGGCTGAGATTTTGGGTGAAATTTGGCAAATTCTGTCACCAACTCAGATGGTTTTGGGACAACACCAGACGGGGTTTGGCGTCTTTGGTCACCATGGGTGGAAATGGGGCAGATCTGGGACAAGGGGGCAAGCCCTGGGGCTGGGGTGTGGGGGAAGGGTCAGGGGCTTTGGGGACAGGTGGGGACACTGAGATGGCGATCGATCCACCAATGATGCATTTACAAAT